AAATCATGCAGAGGGATGTGCTTAGTGATTTTATCAAGAGTTTCACCTGCTTGACAAGAAAATGGGTGGATCCCATAGATGTGCAGCTAGACAAGAATATCAGACAGAATTGGGGGGTGGGCTCTTATGACTGGAAACTGCAATCTAGCAATGACTTGGCAATTATCCAGAATACCCAGAATATCCAGAATACCCTAGCAAATGCATAGCAACACTTAACCAGCCACAACACTCTATTATCATGACAGCCAGTTTTGTACAGCATGAGCAAGTAAATGATTAATTTCAGACAGACAAGAGGAGTTCACTGAAATGTCCCACGTGTTGCATAATCTACACTTGACTTAATAGCACGTGTTTTTTGATAATGATTATCACTTGGAGAAAACTTTAATTGACTCCAAGCTTCATGTATATGTATTACCTCTCACCAAATGTATTGATTATGCAGGAACTATTAAATATGAGCATTAAATATATATGCGGTTATTAGAAGAACGGATTAGAATTTTAAATAGTAAAAAAAAAAAATAAAAAAAAAATTACTGCTTTTGCTGTATTTTGTTTCAAAAAATATATATACACACATGTTACTGATACTGTAAGAATTAAACTATTACATTTGAATGGTACTCCAGGGTGAATATGAAGTATGCTGCTGTCACGAATCCTGTCCATGAACTTCATATATATATATATATATATATGTATACATATTATTGAGCATGTAATCCTATACTGAACTTTTGAATTAAAAAGACATATGATCTGTCCACATTTTGTATCTTTTTGGAAAAAATCCCACAATTTTGCTCACTTCATTCTGCTCCAAAACCAAAATGATGTACTTGTGCTTTTCTCTCATTTTCCTAACCAAAATAAAACTCAATTCTTTCTTTGCCTTTTACATGGTTAACAAATTTCAAAAGTATGCATTAAAATATTTGAAATTAATTTTAGCTTAGTATTTTAGATTTTTTCCCCTAGTTCAACATCTCTTAAATATACTGCATTAGGTGAATATGTGATATATACACTACCAATCAAAAGTTTAAGGTCAATAAGATTGTTTTTTTTTTTTTTCAGAAATTAATACTTTTATTTAGCAAGGATGCATTCAATTAAAAGATCAAAAGTGACAGTAAAGACATTGATAATGTTACAACATTCACATAATTATTTCACATAAATGCTATTATTTTTTACTTTCTATTCAGCAAAGAATCCTGAAAAATAGAATGCATCACAGTTTCCACTAAAAAATAAATCAGCAACTGTTTTCAACTTTCATAATAATAAGAAAGTTTTTTTGTTTTTACAAATCAGCATATTAGAATGATTTCTGAAGACTGGAGTAATGATGCTGAAAATTCAGCTTTGCCATCACAGGTATAAATTACATTTTGAAATATATTAAAATAGATAAGTTATAGATTGTAATAATATTTCACAATATTACTGTTTTTACTTTATTTACTTTTTTTTACGTTTACGTTTTTACTTTTCAATAATATTTTTAATTATAAAATAAAAGTTTTTTTTTCATTTATTTTCCCATTCAGAGAACTTTATTTATTTTATTTTTTTCTCTTACTGTTTTTACTTTATTTTTGATCAAATGAGCATAAGAGACGCCTTTCAAAAACATTTAAAAAATCTTTCAGACTTTTCAATAATATTTTTAATTATAAAATAAAAGTTTTTTTTTCATTTATTTTCCCATTCAGAGAACTTTATTTATTTTATTTTTTTCTCTTTTTTTTAAGACCACATTCAGAAATCCATTGTCTCCAAACCTCCTGTGATGTCTAGTGTGGTCTCAATCTTCTCAAGCATTGTGTATCATATTCCACTCTGAACACATGGCCAGTCTGACATGTGTCCAGAGCTTTTGCATCTGTGTTCCCAGCACATAAATGCGTGTGTGTGTTTTTGACCTTGTCAGCTGAGCAGGTTAGACTTCCTCTTCCCTTGGCTGAAGTCAGTGCTGAGACGTGTACATGTGTGAGTTCATGCAGGTCAACAACAGGGTGTGGAATGTGTGTTTCCCACACTGAGCGGAGCACTTTCTCATGCAGTATGTAAAAACATGTGTCATACATCACCAAAGAGAGCGGAAATATTGTAGGGCCACTGGGCCTCCTGCTACTGGGCCGCTCGTGTTGGCGAAGCTGTGACCGGTGGGTGAGAGTTTTGTGAATCAACTGGAAGCCTGAGACAGATGAGAAAAACAGAGGCAGGACTGAAAGAAACTGGGCCGATAGCATGAGCTTGATCTGCTGATGAGCGCACAACTAGACAGGCCTGAACAGCCTGTAGCACTAGCTAACACAAAAAGCGAGGAACGGCCATGCGGAGAGCAAAAAGACCTCCGCATTTGAAGCTCAATGTGTTTGCTCATGGCAGAACTGTTCTGCCAAAACACTGTCAAAGCGTATCAGCCACCACGTCTGTGATCGTTCGCACATACCCGCATTCCCACACACACTCTGGAAAACTGGGAGAGACAGTCTGAGCTGTTGTGTTTGCCCAGACATCACAGTCCTGTTGAGCACCAGCGTGTCTCATTTCTCAAAACAGGGTCCAGTGATTAGAGACCACATGCCCTCATCAGGGGAACACCTGATGATTTATGTACAGTGTTGTCTTTAGAAGATGTTTTGCCCCCACTCTTACAATGTAAAATAATCCTATTCTTAAAGGAATAGTTCACCCAAAAAGGTAAATTATCTGAAAATTTAATCTCCCTCAGGCCATCCAATAAGTAGATAAGTTTGTATCATCATCAGAACATATTTGGAGAAATGTAGCATTACATCACTTGCTCACGAATAGCTCAATCAATTGGTGTCTGGTGAAGTGAAAAGCTGCATGTTTGTAATAAAGAAATTCATCATTAAGACATTCAAATATGTCAGTGGATGTGAAAGGACATCAGGGGATGGAATTTTACACTGGAGGAAGTGTTATTATTAATTATGGAAGGTATTTTTGCCAGAAGTTAAAACGCGATTTGTTTATTAGAAACATGCAGCTTTTCGCTTCACAAGATGTTAATTGATGGACTGGAGTAGTGTGGATTACTTGTGGATTATTGTGATGTTTTTATCAGCTGTTTGGACTCTCATTCTGACGGCACCCATTCACTGCAGAGGATCCACTGGTGAGCAAGTGATGTAATGCTAAATGTATCCTGCTCCAATGAAGAAGCACACTCATCTACATCTTGGATGGCTTGAGGGTGAGTAAATTATTCCTGAACTATTCCTTTAATGAGTACTTTTGTCTTAATTTCCAGTTAAGTATCTCAAAATTCTAGAAACAAGGTCAATTTTCTTGAGAAGCAGCATTGATTTTAAGAAAATAAGACTTATTTTCAGAGAAAATTTTTCAATTTTACATACAGCATAATCAAGTCAAAAGTGAAAGATTCTTCCAGTGCAGTGAAACAAAACCTACTTACTGTACATTGTAAAAAAAAAAAAATAAATAAAAAAAGATTTTTTTGAATTCACACTGTAAATAAAACAAGATTATTGGAGTACATTTTTACAAGAAAATATGGTAACACTTTGTTTTATGGGCCAATACCCACTATTACCTAGCTGCTTATTAGCGTGCATATTACTAGCATATTGGCCATTTATTAATACTTATAAAACACATATTAATGCCTTATTCTGCATGACCATATTTTAGATCCCTTAATCCTACCCCATACCTAAACTTAACAACTACCTTACTAAACAGCACATTAGGAGTTTACTGAAGCAAAAGTCATAGTTAATAGTTTTTCTACTTCAAAATGTCATGTTTAATTTAGTGTTACTTGTCATTTATTTGCAATGATTTGTGAAATCCACTAGCTATATGATTTAAACACATTGTAACTGTAGAAAATATTCAATAAATGGGAAAAATGGATGTGTTTGACCAATGTGCTTGTGACTTTTGCATTTTCAAAACACACTTTCATGGCGATTCATACAAAAAAATTATGTTTTGTCAAATTTCTGGCAAAATTATTTGAATTGTTGTTGTTGATATAAGGGGTGGACCTTATAGAATTATAGTTTTTGTACAAATTCACCAGCAAAAAATATTTTTTTTCTTGAGATCAGGTTGTCTCTTCATTTTTCATGTTATGCCTAATAATAGCAAAACAACAGCATTATGTGAGAAGACTGTACCCTTGAGTGCCCAATGGCAAATGTAAATGCCAAAGTCAGACTCGGGAAAGATGGACGTATTTCTGGTGGCCACCTGGTCCTTAAAAATGAATGTGTCAGAGAAAGTGCAAAAGATAAGAAATGAAACATGCTGAGAGTCCAACTGTGCAGAGTGAAACTCATCCTTCACTTGCTGGTCAGCAACAAGGTCTCGACCCTTTGACCCTCTTACTTTCCACCACACAGCAGATTGTCTCACACATCGCTCTAACAAGCCGCTCCCTTGGCTGTAGACATGTGTCCTGGGAAAGGGAAACCCCGACATCAGTGATGTGTACTGGAACAGTGTAGAATACGGATGAGACAGCTGTCTGGGGCCGTCTGTCCCTGGCTGTGTAATAAGTCCTGTTAACTTGCTGGCAGTCAATGGTCCAAGCATACACAAAGATCAATTCCCCGGCTGGCCCAGAACATCAGACTGGGTGTCTCTATCACTTCAAAAGTCTAGCTTGCAATGATGATTTCCCAATGAGCGCACTTCTAAATTGAGCAGAGCAGCTAATAGATACTCAAGTGGAAACATTATACTTCAAGACCTCAGAATGTAAACAGCATCAGTGAAAAAACAAAAACACAAAACTTCAAATCAAGTGGAACTTAGAGGCTAATAAGAGAGGGCAACTGTTTTGGGCCATGTCTTTTTCTTAAAGTCTTCATGGACCAGTTTAATATTTTTGATATTTGTGTTGACATTTAAACACATTTACATCATAAGTAAGAAAATTTGATTTAAATAATAGATTTTTTTACTGGTTCTTTAGAAAGAAATGCAGCTAAACTGTGCACTTTACCATGTTTTACACCCTGTGCTACTTGTGTAAGCTATAGATGCTTACACAAAATACCATTTAATTTCCATATTTACAGATTGTTGTATTAGTTTAAGAATATTATTTAGACTACCTTTCAACAGTTTAGGGTCAGTAAGATTTTTCTTAAAGGAAAATAATTTATATGAAACGGTTAGTGTGCTTATCTCTTGCAGGTAGGTGCTGGAAGTGGTCCACAGAGGAAGAAGACTGACATGATGATATTCCACAAAGGATAACAGCGTTCCTCTGGTCCATACCCCTCCCAGTCCACTAGATATTCCAACTGTCCACCCCATCTCCGGGGGTCCATAATGGTGTTGAACTTGTAGATAGGCCCTTCGTCAGACTCAATGGGAGGGGCAGGCATGTCCGAGGCACCAGACCCTGTGAGAGAAGGAACCAGAGGGTGAGTATACGGCTTCAGTAATGAGACGTGGAATGTAGGAGAAATGTGATACTGAGCAGGTAAGTTAAGTCTGTAGGTGACATCATTAATTTGTTGCTGGATGGTGAATGGGCCGGTGTAACTGGGACTTATCGGAGACGGATATCCCTTGTGGAGAGCCAGACCTTTTGCTTGGGTGGTATACAGGGGTGGCAGATCTTCACGCAGTAGCCTTCTCACATTTCCAAAACCAAGAGATTGTGGCCCCCGATCTGATATGATGTCCTCAGCGATACTAAAGTTACGGAACACATGTTGGAACAACACTTCTGCCGTTTCCTTGGCAGAAGGGAGACCCTTGAGGGGAATCAAACGGCAGGCCTTGATTCAGTGGGACAGTCTCTCACAAACCCAGCAACATCCTGGGTCATACCTGGCCACCAGTAGTGCTGAGGGAGGAGTGAGAGAGTCTGTTGGCTGCCTGGGTGTCCAGAGCCTGGAGAGGAGTGCACTGTGTCCATGAGGGTGATCCACAAGGTGAAAGACACAAAGGATTTACCCTCAGGACCTCCCGGCGGAGCAGGTTCGGTTCGGCGGGCTTCGGTTATTTGGTCATCCAAAGACCACTGAATGGAACTGACAATTATGGCTGGAGGGAGTATGTGTTCTAAAGGAATGGAATTGACCTCTAGTGCATGTAACCGTGAATTTGAATTTGAAATCAAACCGTGTGAAGAAGAGTGCCCAGCGTGCTTGCCTTGGATTGAGATGGCGAGCTTCATGGAGAGACTCTAGATTTCAGTGAACAGTGATGACTTCAAATGGATATTTGGCTCCCTCCAGACAGTGTCTCCACTCTTCGAGTGCCAACTTGATTCTGCTCCGCCAGGGACAGCTTTTTAGAATAAAAGGCACAAAGATGGAGCTTAGGAGGATTCCCCTACTGTTGGGAAAGAGCTGCCCCTACACCAGTAGTGGAGGCGTCCACCTCGACAATGAAAGGGAGATCAGGATCTGGACGGAGCAAGGTAGGGGCAGTGCAGAAGGCATTCTTAAGTTGTTGGAAGGCATCAGCTGTAGGGTTCCAGGATAAGGGGTGATGATATGTTGCTATAATTGGCAATGAATCGACCTGTGTAACATGTTAGCGATGGTCGGCCAGGGTCCAGGAGTAGATCAAGATGTCATCGATGTAAATGATCACAAAGCGATGGAGGAACTCCCGGAACAGCTCATTCATCCCTGCCAGACAAGAGAGATATAATATAGGCAATTTTAGAGCGTTCAGAGGGGAACTGGTGAGGCTGCATCTCAAAATACAGCGAGCATTGCAAGATAAACCCTCTGCAATCCTGCGCCGTGCCAGAGAACGTCGCTGGTTGGGCCATGGGATTCACGACACCATCCAGCGATGAAGCCGATGAGGAAGTAGCCGGTTGCAGCAATTGACGAAGAAGGTATACCAGCATGGCAAAGGGTTCAGTTTTGGGGTTAGGAGTGGCACCGCTCTCCATGTTAAACTTGCAGTCTGGTCTTCTGTCACGCACACACAGAACAGGAGACTCACAGAAACGTTCAAGATGTTTATTGACAATTGGAAACTGCATTTCAATAAACCTTTAATTTATTACTTTTGATGCTTCTAGAAGACAAAAGATACTAGATTTTTGACAATGGGCATACAATCTGCTACACGTTGTAGCAGACAAAACAGAATAAAAATAGCATGAAATGAGTGTAATTCTTTTTTTTTTTTTTTAGGATTTTCCTCAACCCAAATGTATTAAGAACCCAATAGTTCAGAGACACAACCAATAAGTAAATATATAGTCGTGCATGTTGAATATGTCAACTTTAAGAGACAGTTCTGGTGATTTTTCAAAGTTCACGTTGCACGAACTTTGAAAACAGAGGTTTTGTTCTTGTTTTTACAAATTGAGGTTAGATTTTTGGCGGTTTTCTGTTTCTATCTACATCCTCTGCAGAGCTTAGCATGATTGTATCCATCCTAGAACATTCTTTTAGAGGAAGAGCAGAACATAGTTAATGATGTTTGTATGTAAGTGCTGAATGTAGATGAAACAGATGAGCTGTAGTGTGTCACTTCAACAGATCCTGGCATCCAAACGCTCCATCTCACATGCTCATCTGTCAATGCAGCCTATCAATATTAGCAGCTCTAATGGATTCACAGTCTGTGTCATTACGCTGTAGGCTGTGGAGTCAGCTGAGAGGTAATTTCGGGTGAGACACCTAGGATGACATGTTCTCTGACAGTAACAAGGGAGCATGTGGATGGCATGTCTCAGAATGCACCAGTTCCAACTACACTCTCTTTCTTCTTACCTTCTCACTTTGGACTTTAGCTGTCAGGATGCCACAAACACAGATAAACACCATCTCATGATTCTTATAAAGTATAAAAAGAATGAATTTTGCTGGTGTCAGCAGTCTGCCAGCATTCAAATCACGTAACTGTAAATACCAAGCATAAAATGAAAATCCAAAGAAGTACTATGAACATAACACAGTCATTCAGATCTACTCTGGAGGAAGTATTGTGATGATTTGGCAATGCATTTTTCGAAGTTGTGCGTAAAACAAACTTTATTGAAGTACGTTTTACAAGATAATACAATTTCAGTCTTTCTTATTAACAATTTCATATGTAATTCAGTGTGTTACTTGCTGTTTCTTTGTAAATATTTGTGAAATTTACTAGCAATTTCAGAGTGAAAACTGTTTACAGCCATTTTGTAAGTGTTCCTTGTAAATTTATAATTTTAATACAGATTTTTGTCAGAATAAAATGGACAGGATTGATTAAATGTAATTGACTATTTATCTTATAAATAAATGGTTTTATGGATGGCTAGTAGTTTTGCTATGCGAGCAAGATATATATGTATATAATCTTGCATGCATAGCAAAACTATTATTGTATTTAGTATATATATATTATAGTATTTAAACTATTATTCATATACTACTATATAACATAGTAGTTTAAGTTTAGTTTTGTTATATGTTTTTGTCATTTTATTCATTTTTTATAAAAAAATATGTCCATTAAGCTTTAATACATTTTTATTTCAGCTTTATTTTAATTAAGAAAATGACTTTTTATAGTTTTAATTGACAATTACAACACATTATCTATTATGATTGTTTAACTGAAAATAGACTTGAGTTGTGTTCATGTGTGCTAATCTCTTACAGTTGTTTTTCAATTGTTTACACGCAATTTTGAAAACCGGGTTCTTTTTTTCACAATATAAACATTTTTATTTTAGTGTGTAAACAATCGTAAAAAACTGTAAATATGATAATTTTGACATGAAAGCAGAATTAGTCTCCAAGAAAAGTAACACCAGATTTCCCTTAGTTTAGTCTGATAGTCAGAGATTGTGATATAGGTGATAGGGTTCATTGTGCTATGTAGTTTTAACAGCAGAGAATAATCACAGCGTATTGATGCTTTTAATGACATATTTAACCATATGCTGAACAGAACCACATGTTGCAGTCAGTGTGTGTTCTGTATGTGTGTGTGTTTGTATGTGTTTATATGTACTGAGAGCTAAGAACATAAAACCTCATCTAGAGAACTGCATAGACTCTAAACAGTCATTTTAAAGTTTGTTTTATATAAACTACTGTTGCACATTATATGGCTGGTGCAACACAGTGAACACATGGCCCTCGCTCTTGAACCCACAGCCAAGCTTTTGTAATATACAGCCTTTGGCCCAAATGGAGAAAAACACAATAAAATTTTTGACAGATTTATGTTTATCACTTCGCCAAGAGTGAAACTACGGACATATCTGAGAACAGGCCAAAAGTAAACACACCATGGCTCTGGCTATAAATTTTTTTTTTCTCATACAGTACTGAAAAGAAGCTTAGCATCAGTACAATCACTCTGATTACTTCTCTCATGCTGGTTTAATACCTCTAACAGCCCACAACAACATTTACATGATGAGAAATGATTTATGCCCATTGTTATCGAAAAGTGCTTTAGATAATGCGTGTGAGCATTCAGATTTGATTTGGTATTTGACGCAGAGCTGCCGCAGTGGGGACCGAACTGCAGACACAAAAGAATTAGATCACTCCTGTGGGTGTGTGTTATGTTGATGGAGGAGCTTGGGAATGTTCGCTATTGAGGTTTGTGTAGCGCCGAGTGCAGTGGGTTTATCAGAGTGCAATTTTCTGCTATTTATTTACATAAATTCAAATCTGTAGATAATTTTGCCTTAGGTGTGCTATCTTTACACTGGAAAGAGGGCTTATTTTTTTTACACAAATTTGTTGATTCACAAATGTGCAGAGCATCTTGTCAACAGCAACATTTGAGGCAGCTCTGATGCAACATTTAATTTACACAAAAAAGAGGTCCAAAATTGTTTATCCTATACAGTACAGCAATAAGATTACATTGAGACTAAAAAGTTTAGCTAGTTTATTATATGTTTCTGATTCTTAAATTTATCCCTTTGTCCAAAAAAAGTACACTTTATCATACTTATTACAGAAATAATATATTGATAATAATTGAATTGAATAACATATATCAAGACTGTACTTGAGTGTGAACTGAATGTAATGTTTTCAGACACTAAACTGCATGATAATTGCAATTTAAATTAAAACGTATTAAACTTATATTAAATGCAATTAGCTGGACTTAAGAGCAATTTTGAATAAGAAGGATTTAAGTACATCTTTAAATGTAAATTTACAATTACTTATATTTTCTTTGAAAAATGGTTAAAGTATATTGCCGAATGTATACCGTCAAGCATTTACAGTATGGTCAAACATATACTTAAATGTGATTTATCCTCTAGAGTTTCAGAAGAGATCTCAAAAAATAACTCAAACTATGCTCAGATACCAAATTTTGCAATCAAAAGTCAATTTCTCAAAATAAACTCAAACATTTCTTATCAAATACTGCCATAATAACATAACCTGAGATGCTATTTGCATTAATTCTACTATACTTTATATTCCAACAGTTGTCTTTTTGTGTCTAGTTTTATTTCTCATAAGGAATTTTAAGAGAAACTTCTGAGATAAAGTTGATATTTCAAAACGTTATTGAATTTCCTGAGCTTTGAAAGAGCAACTTCTGAGCAATAAAATCATCCTCTGGCAGACGTAAACTAAGGTGACCAGTAGTAATTTGTCATCCAGTGTTTCTTGGTGGAGCTCAGCTAACACTGATTGATCAGGGTCGTGTCTGATAGTTTGTGTGTGGGTTGAAAAGGGTTGTTGTGACATCCTTTGTGTGGAATATAAATGCATGCGTCTTGGACTAGGACGCTATAGACCGGAAATTGATTTGAACTTTATGTCGTAACACATTGGGAAGAAAGTGAGGACAGACGCACATTATGTGCCTCAAGCTTTTATACATCAAAATAACTGCAAATAAAGGTGTTGAATGGGATAAAAATGTCCAGGAAATGAGATGTGAAGCGACAGTGCTAGAAAATGGAGCAGTGTAGTCATTGAGTAACAGGATAGTAGTAGAATATAGTAGATAATCTTGAGCTAAGATTTAGCTGAACAGTCACTGACGTTTCTTTGCAGGGTGAGGCTGAGTCAACGTGCTGGGAGGAAGACAGAAGATGATAGCAGACGACTGGGATGGATTAAACCAGTGGTTCTCAAACCTGTCCTGGAGTACCCCCAGCCCTGCACATTTTGTATGTCTCCCTCATCTATCACACCTGATTAAACTCATCAGCTCTTTAGTAGAGACTGCAAGACCTGAAGTGGGTGTGTCAGATATAGGAAAACATACAAAACGTGCAGTGCTGAGGGTACTTCATGGAGAGGTTTAAGAACCCCTGGATTAGACAAACAGGTAGGTAGAGCTGGTAAGTAGCCAGGTAAGTTGATGCACGCAAGTGAACGACAAGACCAGACTCTGAGGTGGTGATGGGAAGGTGGCTTTATACTGTGACTGATTGGTGCTGGCAGGTGAAGTGAAACTGACTGTCAGTTTTTCACTACTGCCGAATCAAAACTGTGCTGATATTCAGAACAACAGCTCTCTTGTTCATTTGATATTGCTTAATTAAAAATAGAAGCCCTAGAGTGTGACAAAATATCACATAGTTTCAGTGTCCGAAGTAATTTCACATCCTCAAAGCTTAGTGTGACTGTATTGTGATGTAGAATGTCAGTTTAATGAGCCCATGTGTGAATCAGGTTTGATGTAGGCCAGCTGTATTTCCATATAGGCTACTGAACCTCGAGGACACCTCATGTGAGCAATCATGGAAACAGGAAAACACAATAGTTAATTTATGGCAGTAGTGACAATGTCCAACAGGCAGCAGGTGTGCTGTGTAACACGCTGCCAGCAAAGTTCCATTTATGTGTCTCTCCACCTATATTTTTTTAACCAAGCGCTGAAGGTAAGGGGCCTACACTGATGTAGACAAAGGTTCCTCCTACACACACACACGTTAAATCTATACGGTTATGTTGGAATAATATATTGCAGTGATTTGAAG